GGAATGGGTGGGCGGGGCTAGTGGGCGCACAGCTGATCGGAACTTGCGGGGGTCACTGCTGGGCACCGATCATCAGGGCACTGATCATCAGTGCCCTGATGATCGGTGCCGATCCCCGCTCTGACAACTGCCGGTTCTCGGCAGTACTTTCCTCACGATCTGACAGCGTGAGGAAAGTGCAGCGAGAACCGGCACTTGCATTTTCCTGTGATCAGCGTGTCATTGGACACCGCTGATCACGTGGTAAAAGGCCGGTGGGATCGGCCTTTCACCACATCTCGTGATCAGCTGTGTCCGTAGGACACAGCGATCACGGAGATCGCCGGGTGCGCGCCCCCTGGGGCGCGCAGGAGAGCGCGTTCTGGGAGGACGTCATATGACGTCCACTCAGAACTGGCCGGCCGCGGTGAAGCCGTCATTCGGCTATGCGCGGTCGGCAAGTGGTTAAGGAAAGCCCTTACGACTCCATCATCCTCATGCAAATAGAGGGAAAGGCTCATGTAGCAAAGTATAGTGGGTAATAAACATTTAATAGTAATGCTTACATTAGGGATAATAAACATCAGCAATATGTTCCCATGACTCAGCCTGCACAGCTTCCTGGAACGTTATTCATGCCTTTTCCAACAGTTAAAATGGCCGCTCCGTCACTTCCGTTTTGCGGAATTACGTCAGACGTCACATCTCTCTGACGCATTTCGTCACGTCTGGACTTTTTCTGAATGGTCCCTTCAGAGTGATCTCATGATTCCCGTGTTACTCACGTTTTGAATCTTGGCTTATTTTTGCACGTATTCGTTATAAGTATATACTTATTGGTTATTAAAGTATATACCGATTGTTATTGAGGAAATACTTTATTTTTATTTTAGTTTTATTTTATTTTTTAGGTATTCACCTGATCTGGATTTATGGAAATATTGAAGTTGGACACAGAGGATTAATTTTTTGGACTTTATTTTGTTATACGCATTGATTGACACAAAAAAGGTGTTTATAATATTATTTACTTTCAAGGGTGAAAATGTGACTTTTTTGGACTGAATTTTACACAGTTTTTGTTAAACTATTTTGTGCAATATTTATAATTTTGGATGCCGAATACTGATTAATTTATTGATACAGTGGGGCAAAACAGTATTTAGTCATCCACCAATTGTGCAAGTTCTCCCACAAAGATGAGAGAGAGGCCTGTAATTGGCATCATAGGTACACTTCAACTATGAGAGACAAAATGAGAAAAAAAATCCAGACAATCACATTGGCTGATTTGGAAAGAATTTATTTGCAAATTATGGTGGAAAATAAGTATTTGGTCACCTAAAAACAAGCAAGATTTCTGGCTCTCACAGACCTGTACCTTCTTCTTTAAGAGGCTCCTCTGTCCTGCACTCATTACCTGTATCAATGGCACCTGTTTGAACTTGTTATCAGTATAAAAGACACCTGTCCACAACCTCAAACAGTCACACTCCAAACTCCACTATGGTGAAGACCAAAGAGCTGTCGAAGGACACCAGAAACAAAATTGTAGACCTGCACCAGGCTGGGAAGACTGAATCTGCAGTAGCCAAGCAGCTTGGTGTGAACAAATCAACTGTGGGAGCAATAATTAAAAAATGGAAGACATACAAGACCACTGATAATCTCCCTCGATCTGGGGCTCCACGCAAGATCTCACCCTGTGGGGTCAAAATGATCACAAGAACAGTGAGCAAAAATCCCAGGACCACACGGGGGGACCTATTGAATGACCTGCAGAGAGCTGGGACCAACGTAACAAAGGCTACCATCAGTAACACACTACGCCGCCAGGGACTCAGATCCTGCAGTGTCAGATGTGTCCCTCTGCTTAAGCCAGTACATGTCCTGGCCCGTCTGAAGTTTGCTAGAGAGCATTTGGATGATCCAGAAGAGCATTTGGATGAATGTCATATGGTCAGATGAAACCAAAATAGAACTGTTTGGTAGAAACACAACTCATCGTGTTTGGAGGAGAGAGAATGCTGAGCTGCATCCAAAGAACACACCACCTACTGTGAAGCATGGGGGTGGCAACATCATGCTTTGGGGCTGTTTCTCCGCAAAGGGACCAGGACGACTGATCCATATACAGGACAGAATGAATGGGGCCATGTATCGTGAGATTTTGAGTGCAAACCTCCTTCCATCAGCAAGTGCATTGAAGATGAAACGTGGCTGGGTCTTCCAACATGACAATGATCCCAAACATACTGCCCGGGCAACAAAGGAGTGGCTTCTTAAGAAGCATTTCAAGGTCCTGGAGTGGCCTAGCCAGTCTCCGGATCTCAACCCCATAGAAAACCTTTGGAGGGAGTTGAAAGTCCGTGTTGCCCAGCGACAGCCCCAAAACATCACTGCTCTAGAGGAGATCTGCATGGAGGAATGGGCCAACATACCAGCAACAGTGTGTGCCAACCTTGTGAAGACTTACAGGAAACGTTTGACCTCTGTCATTGCCAACAAAGGATATATAACAAAGTATTGAGATGAACTTTTGATATTGACCAAATACTTATTTTCCACCATAATTTGCAAATAAATTCTTTCCAAATCAGCCAATGTGATTGTCTGGATTTTTGTTCTCATTTTGTCTCTCATAGTTGAGGTCTACCTATGATGCCAATTACAGGCCTCTCTCATCTTTTTAAGTGGGAGAACTTGCACAATTGGTGGCTGACTGAATACTTTTTTGCTTAACTGTATCTACAGAAGACTTCAAAGCACAGTATGGTGATGAGACACTCAGCTGTACCAAGACATTTGAATGGTGTAAACATTTCAAAGATGGGATACAGGGATAAAGAGGCGAAAGTTTCTACAGGTAACTGTTAGGCGATTGGAGGGAGAGGAGGTGGAAGACAGCGAAAGAGTGAAACTAATGAGATAATGATCAGAGAGAGGAAAAGAATTGTCAGAGAGGTTGCACAGAAGTGCATAGGTAGGATAATACAAGGTCAAGGGTGTTGCTATTATAGTGAGTAGAAACAAGTATCCATTGCTTCTGGTTAAAAGAGGAGGTTAGACTGAGAAGTTAAGAAGTAGGAGTGTTAATATTAACAGGGATTTTGAAGTCACCGAGAATGTGGGAATTTCAGAAGAGAGAAAGTTGGGTAGCCAGGCAGAGATGTCATCAAGGACAGCAATGCACAAAGAAACTAGGGAAATAATAGTTAAATACATTGTGCCTCAAATGAGAGGGAGAGAGGGAGGTGCGTGAACTCAAAGGTGCTTTGTTGGGATAGAAGGATTCCAAGTTCACTTCCCTTCCATGCACTAGGTCTAGGAGAGTGAGTCCAAAGATGGCCATCATGGCGGAGGGAGGCAGGAGAAGCAGAATTGGATTCTTGAAACCAGGTTTCAGTAACAGCAAAGAGATTAAAGGAGTAAGTGATAAAAAAGGTAATGGAGTTGAGTTTGTTACAGACATGAGAAGGGGAGGTTGACTTTGGGAAGAAAAGGAATAGAAACTAAAATGTGTGGATTGCGGCTGCTATCTGAAGGTGTGGGGTGATGGGTGTGTTGACCACAGTTGAATGATGGATGTTCAAGGTTTGGGGATTTGTCTCCAGATGTTAGATGAAGCAGAAGTGTGAGTGAAGTAATATGGGAGTGCCAGTTATATGCAGGGAAATGCCCCATTATCCTGGGGGCTTTATAAATATGTGGGTTCAGAATTAGCAGGAGATAAGTGTAGTAAAAAGAAGAGGACAGAAGGGAGGGTGATATACAGTATATATAAGCTGTGGGGGTGGAGAAAAGGTGTGAGAGTTTAAAGCGAGTTTAAAGAGAGAGAACACAACTGTCATAGAATGTAGAGAACGCATGTTACGGATTGGAAGGATTAAGAAGCAGTATGGGTAAGAGATGAAAAAGCTGAGTGAGTAAATGAGGTCACCTACAGTCTGTTTAAAAGGTGCAAATACCAAACATAATGAGGTTCCAGGGGATAAGTAGATAACAGTATGGGCAGCTCCAACAACTTATCTGACCAGCATTGAGGCATGAGCACAAAACAACAAATAAAGGAGCGCTTCCAACCCAACATTGAAGTGAATTTCGATTTGAACTATTCCTGGACTTGTGACTATTGATTCCATAGGGTTGGGAGCGCTCCTTTATTTGTCAAACACTAAACAGACTGTAGAAAACAACAAAGTAGTTTTCTTTGGATTTTCTTTTCATGCATTCATTTTTTGCTTTCCAAAATGGGGTAATTTTGTGGGTGTTTCTCCTGTTCTGGTACTTCAGGGATTCAAGAAATGTAATTAGTAGTCTGTAAACTAGACGCATATTTTATGGTCCTTGAAAGTCCAAATGCATGGAAAGGCGTAGCAGAATGTTTATTGGTGTGTAATTGTAATGTCTATGCCTATGCTGTGTGTGAGAAGGAACAACTTTGTGAAAAAAAATTTTTTTTTTATTTCTTCATTTTTCCATAAAATTGTGACAAAATTACAACTTTAAAAAACTTACCATACTTAGTCCGTACAGTTCAATATTGAGTTGGCCCACCCTTTGCTGCTACAGCAGCTTCAACTCTTCTGGGAAGGATATCCAGAAGGTTTAGGTGTGGATCTATGGGAATGTTCGGCCAATCTTCCAGAAGCGCATTTGTGAGGTCAGGCACTGATATCAGAAGAGAAGGCCTGGCTTGCTGTCTTCACTCTAATTCATCTCAAAGATGTTCTTTCAGGTTGAGGTCATGACTGTGTGCAGGCCAGTCAAGTTCCTCCACCCAAAACTCGCTCATCCATGTCTTTATGGACCTTGCTTTGTGCACTGGTGCGCAGTTATGTTGGAACAGGCAGGAGCCATCCCCAAACTGTTCCCACAAACTTGGGAGCATGAAATTGTCCAAAATGTCTTGGCAACACATCTCCACTTCTCTAGAGACCAGTGGCGGCGTGCTTTACACCACTGCATCTGATGCTTTGCATTGCACTTGGTGATGTAAGGCTTGGATGCAGTTGCTCGAACACAGAAACCCATTCCATGAAGCTTTCTACGCATTATTGTGCTAATCTGAAGGCCACACGAAGTTTGGAGGTCTTTAGCTACTGACTCTGCAGACAGTTGGTGACTTCTGTGCACTGTGCGCTTCAGCATGCACTAAGCTCGTTCTGTCATTTTACGTGACCTACCACTTTGTGGCTGAGTTGCTGCTGTTCCCAGTTGCTTACACTTAATACCACTAACAGTTGACCGTGGAATATTTAGTAGCAAGGAAATTTCATGGATGGACTTATTGCACAGGTGGCAACCTATCACGGTACAACCTTTGAATTCACTGAGCTCCCGAGAGCGACCTATTCTTTCAGAAATGTTTGTAGAAGCAGTCTGCTTGCCTAGGTGCTTGATTTTATACACCTGTGGCCATGGAGGTGATTGGAACACCTGGATCCAATGATTTGAAGGGGTGTCATAATACTTTTGGCAATATAGTCTGTAGACTTTTTCATATACTAAATAATATAAGCTGATGGAGGTCACACATTCCTATCCCTAAATAGTGAGTTCAGCTGACAAGTGAAGCCTGCATCTGATGATTTTATGGCATTTTATTCATTTACTACATCTGAGTGTATTACTGCTTCTTAATAATTTTTATGTTAGTACATACTGCACCATCGGAGTGTCCTTTGGTCCCTTTTACGGATAGGAATGTGTGACTTCCATCACCCTTAAAAGGGAACGATCCCTGGCTCTGGTTTGACAATCTATTGAAAGGTGTTTGATTACAATTAGAGATGAGCAAATCAAACTTGGCGAAGTGGAATTCGTTTAGAATATTAGGAAAATTTAGATTCGCGACGAATCCGAAAATTAGCAGACTTCGGATGCGCGAATCAAAATTTTTCCAAAAATGGCGGCGACATGTGCGGCGACGGAGCGGGGATCTCTGGGAAGGCGCGCAGACAAGGCGCGCTGACCCATAATGCATTCATTCATGACATGTGATCGCATTAGCCAATCAGCAGCCAGCCAGCCAGCACTGTGTAATGGTCGAGCTATAAATTGCGGCCATTTTAGAATTCTCCATTTGCCTCCAGTCATTCAAGAGCGGCAGACCTGGCTGTATTGAGGGAGAGAGTTAGGGACACAGAAACGTTACTTAGGGCCAGAGAAACGTTACTTAGGGACACAGAAACGTTACTTAGGGCCACAGAAACGTTACTTAGGGCCACAGAAACGTTACTTAGGGCCACAGAAACGTTACTTAGGGCCACAGAAACGTTACTTAGGGACACAGAATCGTTACTTAGGGCCACAGAAACGTTACTTAGGGACACAGAATTGTTACTAGGGACAGACACAGAATTGTTACTGAGGGACACAGAATTGTTACTGAGGGACACAGAATTGTTACTGAGGGACACAGAATTGTTACTCAGGGACAGACACAGAATTGTAACTCAGGGACAGACACAGAATTGTTACTCAGGGACAGACACAGAATTGTTACTCAGGGACAGACACAGAATTGTTACTCAGGGACACAGAATTGTTACTCAGGGACAGACACAGAATTGTTACTGAGGGACAGACACAGAATTGTTACTCAGGGACAGACACAGAATTGTTACTGAGGGACACAGAATTGTTACTGAGGGACACAGAATTGTTACTGAGGGACACAGAATTGTTACTGAGGGACACAGAATTGTTACTGAGGGACAGACACAGAATTGAATTTACTGAGGGACACAGAATTGTTACTCAGGGACAGACACAGAATTGTTACTCAGGGACAGACACAGAATTGTTACTGAGGGACACAGAATTGTTACTGAGGGACACAGAATTGTTACTGAGGGACACAGAATTGTTACTCAGGGACAGACACAGAATTGTTACTGAGGGACACAGAATTGTTACTCAGGGACACAGAATTGTTACTCAGGGACAGACACAGAATTGTTACTGCGGGACACAGAATTGTTACTCAGTGACAGACACAGAATTGTTACTGAGGGACACAGAATTGTTACTCAGGGACACAGAATTGTTACTGAGGGACACAGAATTGTTACTCAGGGACACGGAATTGTTACTGAGGGACAGACACAGAATTGTTACTGAGGGACACAGAATTGTTACTGAGGGACACAGAATTGTTACTGAGGGACACAGAATTGTTACTCAGGGACAGACACAGAATTGTTACTGAGGGACACAGAATTGTTACTGAGGGACACAGAATTGTTACTGAGGGACACAGAATTGTTACTGAGGGACACAGAATTGTTACTCAGGGACAGACACAGAATTGTTACTGAGGACACACAGAATTGTTACTGAGGGACACAGAATTGTTACTGAGGGAAACAGAATTGTTACTGAGGGACACAGAATTGTTACTCAGGGACAGACACAGAATTGTTACTCAGGGACAGACACAGAATTGTTACTGAGGGACACAGAATTGTTACTGAGGGACACAGAATTGTTACTCAGGGGACACAGAATTGTTACTGAGGGACACAGAATTGTTACTGAGGGACACAGAATTGTTACTCAGGGACAGACAGAATTGTTACTCAGGGACAGACACAGAATTGTTACTGAGGAACACAGAATTGTTACTCAGGGACAGACAGAATTGTTACTCAGGGACACAGAATTGTTACTCAGTGACAGACACAGAATTGTTACTCAGGGAGGGACACAGAATTGTTACTGAGGGACACAGAATTGTTACTGAGGGACACAGAATTGTTACTGAGGGACACAGAATTGTTACTCAGGGACAGACACAGAATTGTTACTGAGGGACAGACACAGAATTGTTACTGAGGGACACAGAATTGTTACTGAGGGACACAGAATTGTTACTGAGGGACACAGAATTGTTACTCAGGGACAGACACAGAATTGTTACTGAGGGACACAGAATTGTTACTCAGGGACACAGAATTGTTACTCAGGGACAGACACAGAATTGTTACTGAGGGACACAGAATTGTTACTCAGTGACAGACACAGAATTGTTACTGAGGGACACAGAATTGTTACTCAGGGACACAGAATTGTTACTGAGGGACACAGAATTGTTACTCAGGGACACAGAATTGTTACTGAGGGACAGACACAGAATTGTTACTGAGGGACACAGAATTGTTACTCAGGGACACAGAATTGTTACTGAGGGACAGACACAGAATTGTTACTGAGGGACACAGAATTGTTACTCAGGGACACAGAATTGTTACTCAGGGACACAGAATTGTTACTCAGGGACAGGGACACAGAATTGTTACTGAGGGACACAGAATTGTTACTGAGGGAAACAGAATTGTTACTGAGGGACACAGAATTGTTACTCAGGGACACAGAATTGTTACTCAGGGACAGACACAGAATTGTTACTGAGGGACACAGAATTGTTACTGAGGGACACAGAATTGTTACTCAGGGAGGGACACAGAATTGTTACTGAGGACAGACACAGAATTGTTACTGAGGGACACAGAATTGTTACTGAGGGACACAGAATTGTTACTGAGGGACACAGAATTGTTACTCAGGGACAGACACAGAATTGTTACTCAGGGACACAGAATTGTTACTCAGGGACACAGAATCGTTGAATTAAAGAGTATGTCAGACAACATGCAGAGGAGTGGCAGAGGAGGCAATGTTTTAGGAGCGAGCAGACGTGGCAGCAGAGGAAGGGGTCGAGGCAGCACTAGTCGCAGCCAGAGGCCAGTGCTCCCGGTGTCATCCAGCGGTCATGTCTCCACCGACAACCCTGCCGTCATCGATTGGTTGGCTCGGTCTTCTTCCTCTTCCCAGGTCACCTCTGACACCTACAGCCAACGGTCGGTGGGTACGTCAGACACAACCGTTAGTTGGCATGGCCCGGGAGCAAGCCCACTGAAATCACGTGTCCTCTACCTGCCCCTGTCCTTTGGTGTTCCCTCACCAAGCGAAGTATCGCATGCTGTGGGCTCAGCCCCACTGTACAGTGAGGAAGAGCTAACAGAGGGCGGTCAGGAACGGGGGGAGACATCCGCCTCTTCAGCAGCCAGGCGAAGAAGTACTGGCGAGGAGAGTGGCTCGGTAGCCGGTCTAGAGACAGGTCTGTCTCCTGACCCACACGCAGCCGAGGGGGCTAGTAGTGAGGCGGAGACCCTAATTGATGATGATGAGGCTGATCGCACTTGGCAGCCTCGTCGTCATCAGGCTATTGCTTCCGCATCATCAGGAGAAGAGGGTGGCAGCTTGGCAGCGAGCAAAACAGTCGGTGGGTTGCCCAGGAGGCAGCAGGGTCGCAGCAGTGTCAGTGGAGGCAACGGCCACGGAGTAGAGCACCAGCTCCACTGCAGCCTACCACCACGGCCAGTAGTGGTGCCGGTGTGCACGGAGGAAGTAGCAGTCAGCCAGTGAGGAGTAGCGGGGGCAAAGTTTCCTACTCGGCAGTGTGGCAATTGTTCGTCAAGCCACCCGAGGAAGTAAACGTAGCCGTATGTCGACTATGTGGCCAGAAAGTCAAGCGTGGCAAGGGGGCCCATGTTGGGACTACAGCGTTGCGGCAGCATATGGAAGAGGAGGACATATGGACAGGAAGAAGAGGAGGAGGTAGAGGAGGACATTTGTGCTCAGGAATTATTGAGTGAAATGGGTGGTTTTTCCACTCAGCGGACAGGAGTGGAGGAGCAGGAGCATCTGGTAGAGGAGGAGGAGGAGGAGACAGAGGACCCAGACGCACCGTGGCAGTATGCTGTGGAGATGGAGGCAGGGAGTCCCTCGCATTCCTTGGCACAAATGGCCCATAGCATGCTCGGTTGCTTGCGTAGCGACAGCCGAATAATAACCATCAGACAGAGGGATGACTTTTGGCTGTCCACCTTGTTGGACCCTCGCTACCGTTCAAAAATGGTGGCCTTTTTCACACCTGCTGAGAGGGAGGCCAAAATAACGTACTATAAAAACCACCTATGTAGTCAGTTGGTCTCTGCCTTTCTGCGCCAACGTCCATCCTCAGACACTGTGGGCCCTGTGCGCTCGCGTTCCGCTGCCATGGCAGCAGGGGAGGGGTGGGGTGGTAGGAGCAGTGGCAGCTCCACCAGCAGCGGCTGCCTCAGTCTGCAGTCGATGATGAGTAGCTTTCTTCACCACAGCGCAGTGAGGAAACTACTAACCAGCCGCAGCAGCAGCAGCATCAGGTGGACCTGGAGCAGGACCTCAAACAACAGGCTTGGGCCTACTTGGACAGCACCCTGCCAACCGAGGTAGACAATCCCCTTGACTACTGGGCAACGAAACTTGACCTTTGGCCCCAACTAGCTGAATTTGCCCTTGAAAGGCTGTCATGCCCAGCTAGTAGCGTGGCATCGGAGCGC